TCTTTTCTTTACAATAAGGCTTTCAAATAAGTCATGGTTGTACGGCAGTGAAGCATCGGTGTTGAACACTGATGTCATGCTGTCGATGATGATGGTGATGATGATGAGTGTCTTTGCAGGCCGGGATGCCCAGTGAACCCTAAAGACCGAGGAATTGGAAGAAGAAGAAAATGCGGGAATCGTCCGCAGGCTGTTCCATTTGACTTGTTGGACTGGTTCTTTGAGGCCTGTTGTCAGCGAAACTTTCAGGGACCAGAATGGCTCTTTGATATCCAGCAAGGTAGAACGCTTGAATCGGTGGGCACAATATTTTGGGCAACATTTCACGTGGCCACCTAATACCTCTAAGCCGGACTACCGTCCAACAACAGAAAGAATAACTATGAACATCGAACCCCACTCAGCATCAGAAAAGTTCGAGTGCATATCCCCACTCAACCGTCATCGTGCTCCTGGCCCTGACGACCTCCCATCTGCTCTTTTCAAGGATGGCGGTGGGTTTCTCAGCCAGCGCTTATTTAGCCTATTTGTGTCTATCTGGGGAAAGGGACAGTTCCAGATAACCGGGGCGAGTCGGTAATGGTGCCCATTTTCAAAATGGGTACTCGCAGTGAATGTAATGACCACAGGCTGCCGTTGTAGCAGGCCTTCTGGCGTCACTGATTGTTCGTCATCTTACGGTGGCACATGAAATCTTGACTCGTGAAATCAAGCGGGATTTCGATCGGGTTGAGGCTGTATTGACCACACCTTCACACTCTGTCAGATGTTAGAGCAACATCATATGTACGGACGACCCACAATCTTGGTGTTCCTTGACTTCGAGGGTGCATTCGTTTCTGTCGATCGGTCATTGCAGTTAAACGCATTTGCTCAACAGAGTATGCCCCGGAAGCCTGTGAACCTAATCCGGGATCTATATTCACATACTTCGGGGTGTGAGAGCGGTTAGTTCTCCAAAATCTTCCCTACAAGAAAGGGCGTTCGACAAGAGTGTCCACTCTCTCCATTCCTGTTCAGCTTCGTTACTGATGAAATTTTGAGGCGAACGCTGGAAGGTCTTCAAAATGCTAGTGTTCATATTCTTGATGGTGAGGGTTGTCGATCTAGAGTACGCGGACGATATCGCCCTCATTTTTGAAGACAAGGGCAAAGCATAAGCCCTGTTAAATAGACTACCCACCATCATACTATCTTTCGGCATGCACCTTCAAAGTGTGAAGTCGGGTTTCGGAACGTACGGTAGATTTACTGGGGGTTGTGGAGAACTTTTCATACCTCGTTAGTTGTATCATTGCACGAATATCAAAGTCCAAAACCATGGTTGCCAATTGGCGTCACTTGTGGTGTCAAAAAGGCATATCACTGGATCTCAAGGGTCGCGTATACCAGGTTACAGTAAGGGTTGTATTGTTGTATGATTGCGAAACATGGCCCCTGCGGGCAGATAATGTGACGATTAACAGATTGCATCAACGAACTCGTAACGAGGCAGCTAGAAAACGGATACTTAGTTGTGCCACAGGTACTTTAATGGCGGAAAACATCCAGCACCGCCAACTACGGTGGCGGGGCTGTGCTACTTATGCCGAAACATCGTCTACTGAGCCAAGTGTTGTTCTCCGTGTCTCCTCCAGAATGACGGAAACCGCGAGTTGGACTCTATGGCTTGGCAGAAGGGTGTGAAAGATATTGCGAAGTGTTGTTGGTGCAGCGCGCCTTGCACTATGGGGTCACCGTGACACCGTCTGCGCTTGGCTGAGGACGTTGCCAGAAATAGTGGCTGATCTGTATCAGTGGCGTTCGTGTTGTCAGGTTCTTTCCAGGTTATCTGATTGAGCGCTTGGCAGTGTAGGCACCTCAGATTGCTTGTGATAGGCCAGCACCAGGTTCCCCTCACCTACTCTTTTCTTTTTATTCCAAGGCTTCAAATATAATTAGATAAACCTTGTGGCTGTGAGACGTCGGTGTCAAAACTGATGTCTCATTTTGACGATGATAATGATAATGATGACCTCAGGTTGGGCAAGACTTCTACCAACCTATACAGTAATTGATCATTTAGATGAACGGCCAATGTTAGCATCGAAAATAGCTGTCGAAACACTTCGAAGGACTTCGGCGAGATGAAGGAATTACGTTTTATCCAATTTTAGGTGAATGAATGTCTGTAGTATTCAAGCGAAGTCGAGATGGTTTAGTGGTTGAAGCGCGAATTTACTGACCGGAAGGTCCGTGGTCTGAACCCCAATTGATCCTGTCTAAGCTTGCGCAACCTGGCTTCATCTTAACTGTCGCGATTTCTTCGGGTTACGGCTGAACGATTATTATTAATATCATCATTATTGGTGTTCGAGCCTGGAGAGTAACTTGTGCCACCAGGGAAAGCCCTCGGCAGTATGAGTTATTCCATGCTGTATTGAGAGTGACGCGGATGGCTGGCTTAAGAAAAGACCTGGTGTAGTAGTTTTCGACTCGAGAGGAGGCCAGCCTCTAGAGAAGAGCAAGGCGTCAACATGAGACACGCTTTTGTTTGTATTTTTCACCAGATTCCTGTTCTTATTGGTTATTGATCGCTTGTGTGTAGCACGAGTGGAGGGTCACCGATGCAAACGGCCAAATTCTGCTTGTGAACAACGGTAGTTTTATGCGTGCTCGCTCTGGACTCTTCCAAGGGTTGCACATACTGCGTATGTGGTACGTCCACATGTTGTAGTCATTATTTTAAGTAGTAGGAGTAAGCAATGTGTTGCTTTACTTGCACCAAAATTCATCCCCAGTTTTCGTGTTCTACGCAATATTTTTTGGCAGGCGAAAGGGATACACGGTTCAGAATGTGTTGCAGACCGCTGATCGGTTTGCTTCAAATCATATTTACTTTGCATTAGTCCGGTCGATTCAGATGGTCACTGCATAGGAAGCGACTTCAGTAAACCCATTTGGTTTAAAATGAGGAACATGGTGCAAATCGCAATACGCCAAGACATGTAACCGCAAATATAGAGTTTGAAAAACTCAGGCTCACGGTCGCANTGTGACAGCTGTGGAGATTCTGTTGAATCCCCAGTATATCAACTGTCTACCTAGAGGCATGCATTTGCTAACCAGAATGATGCTGTCAGTTTACAGATGGTACAGAATATTCTCCACCGATGTTTTTGTCAACCTCAAAGTTTTGGGAATGGTAGCACACGCTAGCTACACCTGCCGTCGGCAGCCTACCGAACCATAAATTGGTTTGGGCGTTTTCATCATGGTCAACTATAAATCGTGGGTATGCAGTGGTCCTAATCACCATTCTGTTTCCAAGGTAATATACACTTCTCTTGCACGTCAATTTCGGTTTTGACTGGCGAAACCGCTAGTTGTAGTCATTATTTTAAGTAGTAGGAGTAAGCAATGTGTTGCTTTACTTGCACCAAAATTCATCCCCAGTTTTCGTGTTCTACGCAATATTTTTTGGCAGGCGAAAGGGATACACGGTTCAGAATGTGTTGCAGACCGCTGATCGGTTTGCTTCAAATCATATTTACTTTGCATTAGTCCGGTCGATTCAGATGGTCACTGCATAGGAAGCGACTTCAGTAAACCCATTTGGTTTAAAATGAGGAACATGGTGCAAATCGCAATACGCCAAGACATGTAACCGCAAATATAGAGTTTGAAAAACTCAGGCTCACGGTCGCACGCTCCATTCGTCCTGTAATGCAAGGATTGCCCTTAAGGGGTTAGAACGAAGAGCTCTTATAGAGGTTTTTTTTACTTATTTATAATGCTCAGCGTGAGGGGTAGTCTTAATCGTGTTCTATTCGCTCAAAGAGGGGTGGGTAATGTCAGAATCAATGGCCTTACAGTCCTTTACACAGGGTCAGACTACACGTAAACTGAATCCTGGGTTTGTAATCAAGGCCATTCCCGCTTGGGTAGACCAACCCAAGACAGATGTACTTTGCGTCTCCAAAGATATTCCTTTTAGGAAGAAAAAGGAAGAAGATGGACTTTTGGCCACTTCTGGGTACCTCGATAGTAAACAGGTAACTGGTGCCGGTGTCCGTTGTTGTGCCATCATGTTTAATCCGGCCGGTGGTTTGCAAAAGCCCGCTGCATGTTTACCTGCTGATCTTATTTCTTCGGCTCTACATAAGTGCCAACAGGTAGCATGTAACACCATATTCAGCTTTGCTCAAGCTGTTTGCGGTTCACCTGCTGTGCTGTCCAGTGGTCTAACTACCATTGACCGGTAGATCCAATTCGGCTGCCAGTCATGCAATCAAAAATGGAAACCACTAAATTTTAAAAGCTGTGGAGCCGTTTTCTTATTCTCAAATCTGAACAAGGACTCATCTTAGTGGAGTCCTTCCAGGGTCCTCAGTGGGACTTGCCGCAAACTAAGAAGTGAGGCATGTTTCACCAACAGTCAATTACTGTTTCCGGTTTGTACACCCTTGTGAGGGAGGCCAGTCACATGAGCTTCCTAATTCTGTTTGCCAAGACTCACTAGTTCCCGATGCAACAACTGCTTCCTAGGATATGAGAAAATTCTCCAGCTCGTGAATATAGTGGATGAGTTGGCTGATTAATCCTCGAAGTATGTTGCGTTTCTCAGGTTGCTTTCGTCCTTTTTTTGGAAGGATTTACATGTTCGGTCAGTGATGTAGATCAGCTGTACGCTCTAAGGGCACAGCCGTAAGTCGTCCTGGAGAATGATTGCAATTGAATGGTGGTCTGGCCGATTATCGAGCAGTTATTTGATATTTCTGTTAGTTTCTCTCGCATCGTCCTCGCTCATATCGAAGGAAACGAACTGAGTTGAGGCACTTCAGATATAATGGACGTCGACATGGCGGATACACGCAATAGAGTTAACCACACGCTCGAGAGGTGGTAGTGGAATAACTCGCGCGTGGCACCTAGCTGCAACGATTGTGTTGATATTTCACATCTCAAGTTGCTACACTGTGCACAACCGATACCAAAGTCGTGGGCATTTCATCACAAGAAGTTAGTATGGTTTCCAGGTTTGTTTAGCTAACGCATTCATCTCATCCTCATGATGTGGAATTTTTCTTTGACTTTTTCCTAAATACTTAGTCTCTCACGAGCCACTTTAGGAATCGGGTTATGGGTAGCTTCATGTGCCTTTCCTTTTCTCTCCCGAGTAAGGGTATAGCTAGCTCACATGGTTTTTCACGTGTTTTTCAACTCCGTCCTAGTACCAATCATCTGCCTTCACTACTCACCTATCTTGATCAGATCGCTTCATCCTAAGGGCTTCATTTCTGGAACACAATATTTCCTGTGAAAAGCCTCTGATTAGTGTTTATAAGAAGGGAAGGAAAGTTTCTCGTCCAAAAACAGGTTGCGTTGTGCGGGGAAACTAAGGGATGGAAAAAGAGGACAGTTCACCGTTTCAAGCTGGAAAGGTCTTGTGTACTTGCCGATTGCCAACGAAAACCACAGCATTCTCTTGCTCCATTAGTTATTCAATGGTGTGCGAGCCAAAGAAAACCATCGATTCAGTGCGAGCATACTCGTCAATCGTCTGTTTTCGTTTAGTTTTACTGTTTGGCAGTCTGATTTATAATACTAGCTGTTGATCCATACTACATTTATTTTAGCGTTTTCCCGGCTCTCCTGAACGCTACAGTCCTAAATGGGCTATTTCGTTTAATGTAGGAAACAAGTCCGTGGATATATATATATATATATATATATATATATATATGATGCTACATAAGCTACATAATCTAATGCACTTTAGACCCTCACATATCATTCTTCTAAATAGGACCCCAAAAGCCTTCAACAGTTATGGGACTAACATGGAACATCAACTGGCCTAGGATAAACGAATTCGTCAGTAGAACTCATTTGCATGACAGCATGCTGAAATTCTCTCACTTCCAGGGAGGGGGACTCTGAGTTTCTTGGGATGTGTCGGTTTCGACAGGCATTTTTCTGAATGAAATGATTGCTTAGCAGATGTACTCCACGGATGTGTGTACCGCATGGATGTCTTTGGTGGAAGTGACTGTCTGGGTTACTATCGATCCCATGTGAGTATTTATTTGAATGGACAGCTCTTCCAACGGTGCTCTACAACCGACTTATCTGCCGGGCTACTGTTTCCTCAGTTGTGAAATTCCGAGCCCTCTTTTTCTAATTAGCTGGCTGCCGGAAAATTTTGGCTTACTAACGCGACTTCATCGTTGTTGTCATCCTCGTAAACTGAAGGATGCATACAGATTTACAGCGCTTCTAGCTTCCACAATTTCTTTTACTAGTGAAATTGAAAATATGGCTTCATAGCGGGCCATAACCTCCTAGTGGTGATGCTCACTGATAGGAGAATCGGGGTTGGCTGTCATATGTGAATACCAGTAAGTTCTCTTAGTCCCCTCGTTTTCTGGTTTGGAGTCCTCATCCAGGGAAGGGGCAGCTACCAGCGAGACTGAGGTCGCTAGTTATGACCTACATGCTTCGCAAGCAAGTCCCAATACACGGTTCAGGAAAAGTGGCTGATATTGCGTTGTTTGCGTAAGTAGGAAGGTCATTCAGATAAACTATTCGCCTGTCAGAAGAATGTTTTCCTTTCTTGCTTCTCACAGTTGGATGAAGGAACTCAACTGGGTCTCTTTTCCGTGAACGCACCAACAGAATTGCAGCACCAAGTGTCATCTCTAAGTACGTACTACCAAACAAACGCACCTATAGAGGACGATCACTTTGATCTGTTTGACCTGGACTTCACCGATGTTTTTACGGATGTCAACTATTCGCCACTAGAAAAGGAGAATGCTTTTCTGCACCATATCACTGTTCAAAAACAGGAAACTTCACCACATTCTATCCATGAGCGTGCATTGTGGCATGACTTCGTTCGATATTACTATGCTGAAGTGTGTTCCTCTGAGTATCACATATACCTCTCTTCCTGGCTACATGAATGCTTTGGACCAACAGTTGCACAACAACTGTTCCGCCTTCCGAAGCCGCTACAGAAAACAGAACTTGGTATTTGGTATCCATTCCATAAAGAGGGTGAAGTTCTTGCGGCGTTGAGACGTTTGCCTAGAGACCACACAGAAGACGGTGGGGATACCTCTAGTTTGATGGCACCAGAGATGACGAATGGTGAGGAAAACGCGAATTCACATGAGGAACACGACGATCGACTACACGCCCAGAATAATACCGGGAACGGGCTCATCGTTGGTGGTGTGAATGGTGGACTAGAAAATGGCCTGATCCACATGGTAGTAACTCCGACAGCAGTCGGTTCAGGAGTATACAACAACAATGCTGTTGATATGAATGATTTACAAGCTTTTTCTGATGTCACCGTGTCTAAGTCAGCCGAACATCCGCCGACGGTGTTGATGGTGAAACCGGAAAAATATGATGATCCTGCTGCTAGCCTGTCGGGAATTCGGGTCTCTGAATTGGACGAGTCTGTTGTGACATCTTCCGAGTCCAAGGCTACACCTGTTGGTGACTCTGGCGATTCACAAACGGAGGAGACAATCTCGCAAAGTATAGGTGGCGACACGAATGGCACACGTGATGATTTTGTTGCGGTTTTCGAAGTGGGCCAGTATGAAGGCGCAATACTCCTCAAACGCCGTGGGGCTCTGAGGTTGTTACTTTCGTTGCTGAGGCCTTTTTGGTGGATCTTCTACCAAACACGCTGGCCGCCTTTTCTGGCTCCGGGCTTTGTGTGCATTGTGGGTGACGAGTTAATCAAATGTTTCGGAAACTATTTCTATCCAGCGTCTGCATTTCAACTGATGCTTGAGTTGTACAATCACAGAATGCGTGAAAGAGAACGTACTTCACTCATCCTTGTTGATCCTCTAGTGAGTTGGGTGTCACGTTCATTCTTACTGTTTGGCTTTGCTTTAGGTGTTTACGGTATCCTTACTATCACGCGAGTTTTTCTGCAATTGTTTTCATGAAGACATTGATGTGAGCTAACTTGCTTCCTCAGCTCTTTGCAAGTGCATATTTTTTTGGTGTGAATCAGCTTAAGATTGAGTAATGTTCCTCGCACCTTTTAGGTAGTTCTGAAAGCCTCTACGCCCACTTATTCTGTCTTCTTGAAGGTTAAATGTTTCACGATGATTTCTGATGCTTATCGATTTCTCATTAGCAGTTTCCCAAGATGTCGACATCCTCCTTCCGAAGATGGACCAGCACAAGAACTGGGGCTTTTCTGATTGTTTCGAGGGAAACCTATTTTGGGGATTGGAGTGATGTCTGATCAAATAGCAGTACACCAGTTCTTGAGAAATTTCACTGAATCTTCGAAGCTTAAAACAATATTTTTATCAACGAGTTATTCAGTATGCCTCATGGGAGTTGCCTTCTAATATAAATATACTGCAACACGTACAGAATTTTTGTAATCTTCCGATTAATTCCTGTCCATTACCTTGAAGCAGAACTGAGTGATTCAGGAAGATGGATGCCGCTCCATCTGTTTGAAGTAATTAGCTTTTGTCAATGTGATTTCTGACTTCTTTCTTGTCTATATCCTGTTTCCTGGATCCTCATAATCTTCATCCTCCATCGAATAACTCAATCGATAATGCAGTTGCTATTACACAATTAAAATGGCCCGCACAATTTAATTACTCATCATGAGGAGTTCGAGTAGTCAGCTTAGGTTAGGTAGTTTTTTGGTCCACATATTTAATTACATATATTATCTCACAGTGGATCATGCCTGCGTTGATGAGGGCAAATCAGCATTGGGGACGAGAAAATCAAGCATCTTACTGACCACTGTGGTTCAAAGATAGGCCCAACCACTTCAACCGGGTCCAGAATATTTCAGTCATAGGCTTGTATTCCGGGCTACAATCATTCTATAAGGAACAAGGCCATGAACTCTCCAGAAAGGTGAGCGTAGTCTCAAGAAATTGGAAATCCGGTGAAAATCTGGTGGCTCTCTCCATAGGGATATTCTTTCGGGTGAGATACTGTGATTTCAACTCATTTTACATGAACCCGGCTACTGTGACGAACTTCGTAATTTCGGACAGCGTGTATGAACCCCACTTATAAAACTACATGGTTGTCTTCATAACTTAGGTTTAGGCGAATCCAAGTGGTTCGAAACTGCTTATTTCGATTATTTTAGTCATTTCTAACTAGCATTAGCAACCTTTCAGTGACAGAGGAAATCCCCGAACCTTGATAAAATTCAACCTCTGGATTCTGATAGGACGTATCTCCCCCAGTTCATGATATTAGTTGACGAACAAACTTCCATTATGGTCGCGTTATGTAACTTGTAATTTCCAAGAGAGCTGAAGCTACCCATCATACCAATGTTCTTCAGTCTTTTTTCCCCTAACGCTCCCTTTCCTCGGCTTTCATGAACCCAGGTTTGCCAAGCGCTAAAGTCGTTTGCGACTGGTATACATGAAAATATTGGCTTACATTAGTTGGCGGTCGATCATGCTTTCATTCTCAACTCAGTCAGACACGAGGCCCTCAAAATGCATTTTTCACACAGCTCGTCCCTCTGTACACAACCACAAAGAAAAAAGTTATGAGTTCCGTCTGCTTGCCGTGTTTTCTTTGTCGGGTTTTAAGTCGCCCGCAGTTGAACGACTTCTTTGCTTTTTAGTAGACTGATCAATACACTGATTCGTCTAAATAGATTGACGGTACGGCTAACAGTACTGACTTCATTCTGGCCAACTATAATAAGTAGGTGAACTGGCATTTCTTTTTGTGGTCAGCTGGAATATGTATTTGGTTTCTACATTGTTTCATTGAATACGGCTGCAAATAGCTTCTTGGCGGTAAGTTGAGTTACAAGTGGTGAAACATTTAGATGCATAAGAGCGAATTATGCCTGGTTATTTTTCGATTGAGTACAGATTATCATATCAGGGACTTGCAGTTTGAAGGCGCCGATATGGGATTGAAACAGGGTCGTGGAAATGGTTATACATTCGGCCACCAGACAATAGGGGCATCGGTAGGCACGTGGGTTTCGGTTGTTATTATGCGAGTTGATGGAGAGCATCTTGCCCGTTGATAAATTCCCTACTCGCTGGATGTACCAATTAATGCTGGTATAGCGTTTGGGAACTATGACAGCCCTCCATTGTGCGGGGCTACGATAATGATTCTGTAGTGGTTTGGACAGCAGCTTTAATAACAGAATGTCAGCTTTCAAAAGTATGCATACCATCCAGTTACTCGCCATACCCGATCAACAAAGTTGCGACATAATATCTCATTATAAGGACTTGTTGCATTTAGTTTGTGGCCGTTGCTCCCTGGCGAGATACCGCTGTCAACTTCAGCCAGTATACTGGATATCGGTGCGAACAAAATTCTGGTTTGATATCTGGTTTTTATTCTGCAGATGGTGTCAACCGATGCTGAAAGATTGGGACAGTACACAGGTACCCAATCTTTGTTAAGAAGCATCAGCAGTACTGGTGTTGAATTTCTTGGGAGATTCAAGACTACAGACTGCAGGATTGAATTTTTAACACGCTATTATTCACTGAAGCGTGCGTAATGAATACTAAGCAACCTGAACTTAGGATACAATGCCAGTTGTCTTTCCTGCACTTAGCCTCAAGTGGTCTGGTGTTGACTGACTTAGTTGGCAAATGCTCCGAGGAAGGCCCGTGTGTCTTGCGAGACATTGTTCCTTCTAATCGCGGGGTCTGTATTTTGCAACTAGTGAGACTTGCACCGCAGATAATCCCAAAACTGGTATGCTGCTTCTCGGCCTTTAAGCATAAGTCGGCTTCCAAGATGCAAATCAGGCAACCCAAGGTCCGTGGAGTTTGGTTATTACAGGGATTGCCGAGGGTTACTTTTCCGTTTTGGGTGTTCCGTGTTTTTGCTGCGCTGCATTGTAAAATAAGGGATAAATCTGGTGACCTGGCTGCTATACTGTGTTTTCGTTGTTTTGTCCAGCTCGGCTTCTCGGAACCCTTGTTAGTCTCTTTGTACCCATTGCCCATGTATTTTGGTCTGTCCCTTTTGTTTTCGCTAGAGATTTCTTTTTGTAAGTGTGAAAGGTGTATGTGCTGAAAGACAAGGAGGCACTGTACGGTTGTTTCATCCTCATTGGGAATCACCAGCAGTGCACATCTCACGGAACTCCAGGGAGCCCATGACCTCCCGGCCAGTAGTTTAAACACTTTCGGTTACACTGCAGCATTAGCCACTCGCCTTGATAAAATTTTCTGGTACACTGAGGCCTCGTCATTATGCAGGTACTTTCCCACGCCTTCATTTGAATCTTCAGTCAAGACCAGATGGCTTGAAGGTACTCATTAAGGTTACGTTAGGGTATTTTGATAAAACAGACAATGAAATATATGGCTCTTGCCCTTTCGGCTGGTCACTTTCGTCTACTGATGTCTGCGTTGACAATCCTAATGTCCTTTTCTTTCTTAGGCCTTATCGCCGTTCTCTCCGGTTCTCAATCGGGTCGTTCTACTTCCTTCAGATGGGATAACAAGAGATGATGCCTTCGGCGAGAAATTTGCGTGCTCGAGTATCGAATGGATCGCACCTGCTCAGTCTTTTTCAAACTGTTTCCATCGTCCGACCGAAGAACAGTTTCCCGGCTTTACGATTTTATCTGTCCTCTCGCTCGTATCCAATTGGTTGGCTTATTTATCTCGAATAGAACTTCGGGGTATTGTGGTAGGCTATTCCCAGTATCGGGACACTTACACCGTCCGACCCATGGGACTAGCTTGTATGTACCCAGCAACATTGGGTTGTGGGCAGTTGCCTCTTTTGGATGCGTGGCCTTTGCAATTGTTGGTTCATTCAACTCGAACATGTTGCTCAACACTTGTCTATTTATCCTCCCGTCTTTCACCCCGCTCGAACTTCCCGAATCCTCGCCTTTTGTTTTCTTTTACTGATGTTGATAACCTTTAAATATCAAAAACACTTCGTATAGCCCTTTGGAACCACAGAACTATTTTTCGAAAGACATGATATACTTTTTTATTCCTTGACGGTAAAATAAACATTTGTTATTCGCTGAGCTAGGCAGTTTGATTGCAGGCGTTTCAGTCCTAATGGAGGAGGCGTGTTGCTTCAAAGCGGGGCGTACCAGTGGAGTTAGATCATGCGAATGATGTGTTGTTCTGACGGTCCTGCGTCGGGATGCAATGCTCCAAATAGCATGTCGGAAGTGGCTCCTAGTTTTTGCATGCACTGCATACTGTACAGCTACACAGTGCATATTCTGGCCCATTCTATCACTCTGAAATTTCAGGATGTGGAGTTCACGCTTCTCGATGGGTTTACCTATTTCAATAGCTTCCTAAGCCATGACTTCACTGAAACAGATGAAGCCAGTCCACACAATGAAGAACGAGTGAATTTCGTCGTCGTTGTCACTGAAGCTACACAGTCGCGTCTGCGAAAGGACCGCGAAACTGGCTTGGTTGTTAAACTTGACCTTCCCTACCCAAGAGCCGGAACACAATAGTTTCCCATGCTCTGAACTGATCTTAGTTGATAAGAAAGCATCTCCCAACCATACGAGCAAATAACAAGTACCTCAAAGTTTGATAATAGTATATTCTTACTGTGAACCGTTTTACAGCACCTTGGATTTAAAGAACTTTATAAAGTCCGCCTTTACCGTCCAAGGCAACTGTCGCCATGATAAATATTGGGAGCACTCCGCTAGAGAGCTTTCATTTCACAAACCTTTACTGGAACTGCATCAGAGACCCTCGTTCGGGTGCCAAATTTCGCGTGATTGCATTGTGTATATTTCCACCCTACTGTGGGTGTCCTGTCCAGTGGAAAACAAATCTAGTATCGAGACCGTCTAGGAGGATTAGTGTTGAGGGTTTACTTTGATTCGAACTTACCGCTTGTATTGGTTCCGTACTGTGAACTTCACGTCTGGTGTGTTGGCATGCCTTCTGTCTAGAATAGTTTGCATGTTCAGTGCCTATCAGGTCACTGGCACGATTCTCACGGGTGCGAAGCTGCCCATCTCTTTATAGCACCTCTTCCTTTCTAGTACAGAATCAGTTTGTCCTTACGGGGTCACACTAAGAGTTCGGAAGTAGACATATTCAGTCTGTAGTAGGCTGGTGCATATCAGCATATTCTGTATGGCAATACACCTTGAGTCTCTCAATTATTGGGGGTAATCGGTACAACCGTTAACTTTCAGCAGTGCACACAGCACTGATCACACCTGAGGACTAATACTGAACAGTCATATGTTTCCGTCGAATGTGATATTCGTACCTGATGTTCAGTGATACTGAGACTGTGTATAGAATGAAACTGTTCTACTAGATTTACCATAGTTGGAAGGGAGGGCGCTCATTTTGTAAAAATGAGTTAATCGAAGATGGGAAAATTTGTCGGAAGGCGCATAAGGTTGAGTAAGTTTTGCGTTACTCCCTCATGCCGGACGGGAAATTTGATATGCAGCTGGAAGAGTAGTTTGCCTGCTTTGATTCGCACAGGTCAGTTCTGATTCGTCTTAAATACGTACTTCTTTTGATTTCGACCACCACGCCGATACGACCAAATGTGCTTGCTTTTTAGATATCCTAACACAGAAGGCACAATATATGCATGTAGTAAGTCACAGGGCGCAATGTGAATCAAATGGACAAATGAACAGTGAATGAAGTTCTTGAGCTCTAACTGAAGTCAGACGGTAGACGACAAGTCTTTTTGAACTGATCATCAGACCTACCAGCAAGAATATTGTTGTGTGTGGAAGTTATGTTTGATGGGGGTATTCCAATTTAGCTCTGCGAGCCCACGCTGCGGTAACTGCATCATATTTTAACGCGTGTGCCTTTTTGCCCACATCTGTTTTCGCTTCGGACACCGGTTTTACCGGTGGTACGACACACTCGTTGCGGAAAAGCTATCTCAAAAGCTCCACGAAATCCCACCGGGCCTCTAATTTCATTATGATTAAACCAAAAGACTGGGAGTTATGTATCAGGCTGAATTAACTTTTCAGATGCTGCATTTGGGGTCATTTTTATGGGTAGTAATATCTTAGTCCAGCGCTTATTCATTCGTTGTGGACTATCCACAGTAGTCTTGCCTGGCCATGAGAAAGACAGTCCAAGTATGGTTTCGATGCGAACTCAGAAAATAGCGTGGCTACTCAAAAGTCATCCGGGAATTTTAAAACACGAAGCAAACGATGAAAGGCGGATCGTTGGGTGGTACATTCAGGGCAGTTACGCGACTGTTACTATTATTGTTATACGAAAAACGCACATCACTCTGATGTCGAAATGTTTACCAGATCAAAACACACTATGTGTTCGCATTCTATAAACTCTAATGGGGTTGTCTCGCATGTTGAATGAATGGAGTCCGAATTCCAGTGTCAAACCATCGAATCCTTACATTAACATCACACGATGTCCATCTCATCAGAAATTTGTCTCAACAAATCGGGTCTCGCACCATTCCATGTATATTAGTCCAGCACGAAACAAATGAGTGATATTCTGCTTAGACTCTTACGTCACACAGTCTCATCGCCCCGTCTCACAAGATAGAAATTTTCGCGACTGCGTCATTTGTCAGTGTCTGGACAATCAACCTACTGGTCATAGACGCAATTTTTTTTTACCAAATAAAGCTGTGAAGGAGAGTCCTACCCAGCTGATACATCCAAATGGCTAGCACCATGATAAGCAATTCCATTTCTGTTTCATCGAGCGCGTGCATTACAGGCGTCCTTCAAGGGCCACACTCCATATGACTGGATTGTCACACGCACGTCCAGTTAATTGAAAACGCCCTGAATAGACATGTTGCTGGATACTCACGACTAAAACACATTTCAACAATGAGGGAGAAAAAAGGACGAAGTTACGATCACTTCATGCACTAGTCAACCGAGTTGCAGCAACCTGTTATATGTGCCAGTTTGAGTCAGTTCACGCCATACTGAACAGATCCATATAGTCGAACATTTAGGGTGCAGTTTTCTCGTGAATGGATCTCAGATAAAAATCCACGAATCAGTTCAATGCATCCGCACCAGTCATCCGAATCAGCTTTGCCTTGATGGTTCGCTATGGTTTGCCGGAACGGTTGTAGATGAATGACATTCTCGCTCCTGTTAGGAGCTATCACCTTGAGTGCTACATGAGGTGTTTTCAATATTAGGGATGAATGACACTTATTCGTACTGCGTTCTGAGGGTTGTTTGCCTAGTTGGGATTTCTTGTGCCATTTCTGGGTCCACTGGGAAATCTATTGCATCCCGTGAGTCGTTTATTGGGGAATTGCAGTATGTCTTTTGATATGAACTACGTTCTAATGTTATTTTTGTTTTATTAATATCGGTATTCGCGATCTTTCCAAGATGGTGGGTCTTAGTTGTTCACCGAGTTTCTAATGAGTCACCAGTGCATCACTTTCATCGGTATCAACGAAATTCAGGTGTGATTACAACACCCTGATTTCTTAATGTGTAAAGTTTTAGACTCGTGCATGTTCGGTCACCATGGTAGGTTGCCAACATGATTGTTGACGTCTGGGGACGCATGCTAGGTGGTCATCAGCTTTTCTGAAACCTCATGGTCAGTAACACAGCTATGTGGACAGGCGGATGTACTTTGCTGTGGGAGACATTACGAGAACACTAACACCGTCGAAGTTAAGGTTCACTTCAATGAGTAGAACACATTGCCACTTTAATTCGTGGTTTCACCTCCTCACCCCAAGATAAACGGTTAGCAGAAATAAACTGTCATCATCATCATCATCATTATCAGCTGTAATAACCGCGTACTCGTCGTACAGTGGTTGTAGCTGCCACAGTTTCGTTCACCGATGATTGGGGGGTAAGTAGCTGCGCATTGCAGGCGCGAGCTGGTAAGTTGGTGCGTAAATCCAGCACTGTCAGTGAGTTGTCAAGCGGGGGGGTGGAAAAGAAGCTATGCATTGAAGGCAATAGCTTGGATGCACGAGCGCCACTGAGGGCGCGACTGGGCCATGTCTGATAATGTCTTTAGCCATTGATGTGGCCCGTCTCGGGGTCCCCATCCAGGAAGACGGCAGTGACCAGCGCAGCTGAGTTTGCTGGTAATGGCCTTCATACTTCGCTGCCAAGTCATTGCTTGACCGCCTCTGGCTCTCTTCCACCCTTCACATGGTTGGGCGAAAAGAGCCCTTCGAGGAAGTCGGTCGACTGGCATACGCAGCACGTGGCCAAGCCAACGCAACCTGTGCAGTGTGATCAATTCATCTATCGAGGGTGAGTTATTTCTCCCGAA